TTTTTAAATATTTAATATGTAATTAATACCTATTAGATTTATTTTAACATAATTTAATACTTTTAAATTAGGATCTTAGGGTTTTGTTGAAAGATGTTGGTAGGAAAGATCATCAAGATGAGATTGTAGTAGTTTATTGATTAACTATTTTGTGTTTATTAAGTTGCATTGTGTTATGTATATATTTTGCTTCGATAGTAACGACACATCCATTTCAAATCAGCTCCAGCCCCCAATATAATACTGATCAATTCTTTGAACAATCAAGTTCACCCATTGCAATGGAAGTTACCAACAATGATCTCATTGATGTAGATGTTGTTGAGTATGAAGGAAAAATTCATGTCTAAATAATGAGAAAAGTATAAAGTAATTATTAAAGTTGTTTATTATTATATGATATGTGTTAATTTAATTAAAAAAATAAAAATTTATGAGGTTTTTCTTTTATTTTTTTATTTTCTTTCTCTCTTTCTTTTATTTTTGACTTACTTTAATTTTGATTCATCTTAAACTTTACTTTATCTTCCACCTCCCAGTTTCAAGTGATTTGTCCCTTAATTTTTTTTTTCCACCTTCCACCTTCACCCCATCCACCACGTCAAGTTGAATTTCACTCCCCTTTTTTTCTTTTCTTTTTCTTGTTCTTCTTCTTCTTCTTCGACAATTTTTTTTTATAGAATATTAGAATTCATACTGTTTTTTAGACTTTATTGAATTATTGATGACAAAATAAATTATTTTTTCTTAAAAAGTTTAAAAATTTGAAGATAACAACTACTCTTTTTCATATAACTTCAAAATTAGAAATGATAATTTTAAAAGAATCAATGAATTTCTCAAAAATTGAAAGAACTTACTTGAAATAGGATAAGAAAAAATTATATGACACTTCCAAATCATCTTGAAATCTGATGAGTTTATCAAATTGTTAAAGTTTTAAAATTAAAAAGCGTAAAATAATAGGATTTTGCTCTTCTTTATTTCTCTCCTCTCCATTTTCCCCAAGTTCATGCTTAGATGTGAGACACATGTAGAGGTGTCCAATAGACGGGTCGGATTGAGATTAAGAATATTAAAATCGATTGAAATAGAAGTCAGGTTGCGTCTTGACCCTCCCAAGTTTAATTTGGGCTCCAATGGGCTAAAAAATGATTGGGTTTTGACTCGCCTAGTTTGACCCGATTAATCTCAATAATTTAACATATTAGTATTAACTTTTCTAATTACAATTTAAATTTTAGCTCAAGATTATTCTTTTTTTTTTAAAAAAAGTAACAAATGAATAGATAAACCCCTAAAAGATGTTTAATAGATAATAATTCATACCGTAAATATAGAAACATATCTTACTAAAAAGTTTTAAAACGGGTTGAAATTGAAGATTAAATTGAGTTCAATTGAGGATTCTCTTCAAATGGGTTGAGATTGAACCAAATTCAAATTATCTTGAGCCCAACCCTTAAAATTTTGGGCTAATTACCTATATTTGAGTTCATTTTTGACACCCCTAGATACATGACATAGATAAGAATTAATGGCTAATATTTGATCTACTAAAATAAAATTTAAATTATAGTTTAGATAATTAATATTTCATAATGATAGTAATGTCACAATCATATAAATATATTATCTTGTCCATATATATATTATTAAAAAATCTTTTTTTTTCTATTTTTTTTCTCTACTATTATTTACGTTCTGTTTTTTTTTTTTAATTGAGTTAGTCTTAGATTGCAATTTTGAACTTTCTCTTTAAAATTGGTTATCACATATAATTACTAGCAAAAATATTCACACCAAAAAAATAACATAAACATAGAAAATATATTATAACATATTTAGGACAAAAACAAATTATAATACTAGCCGGGAAAAAATTAGAAAAAAAAGATAATTTTTTAATAATATTTATGGAAAAGATAATATATTTGTATGATATTGCCATTACTATTTTTATGAAATATTAGTTATCTAAATTATAATTACAATAGTATTTTAATAAATCAAATCTTAGCTATTAATTCTTGCATATGCTATGTGTGTCACAGCTAAGCAAGAACTTGGAGAAAAATGAGAGAGGAGAAATGGAGAGGAGTCAGTTCCAAATTAATAGTAGTAAAAAAGCAAGGTGAAGTTGTGGTAAAAATGGTGACATTGAAAGTGTGAATTTTCAATGGAGATGACAATGAATTTTGAACAAAGAAGAATGAAAGAGAAAAAAATATATAAGAAAATAAGAAAAGATATTTTATAAGAAAGTAGTTGTAAAAATAAAATTATATTAATTCATTTAGGTTGGTCACTCTTTTTTAGAGAGTTTACACCGGTCACTATGTTAGGTAGACAAAAAAATAATATAATAATACTTGTTCAAAATTATTTAAGGTGTTTTTTTGTTATGTATCTGATAGATTGATCGGTTCACTGTTTACATTCATTTATTATTGATACATTATTTTTTTTAATAGTGTACCATATACACATTGATATCACATACCCACTAAGGGCTCGTTTGGTAGGGAGTATTAGGTGAAATATTTCTTGTATTATGTGTGATATTATATAATACTATATTTGGTAGGAATTTTGAGACTATATCTAACTAACCCATGGATTAGTTATACACCCTCCATGGTATTATAGAGTGTATAACTAATATCTTCCATTTGATGGTATTAGTAATACATGAACTAATATATATAAAGTCAAAAATATCCTTTCAAATCCTTTCGTTTTGTTTATTTTTCTTGATTTTATGTTTTATGTTTGTACTAATAAATTTATTTAAATTGATTAGCTTACAAATTTTATTATTTAAATATAGTAATTTATAGCTAAAATATAATTTATTTAATCTAATTATCATTAATATAAATATTATAATTGAACTACTATGCTAATGTTGATGTATAAATTTAAGAGCTATTTTTGCTATTTAAAAACATCTTGAGTATAAAAATTGCTTAATTTATTTTGCTATTTTTTAATTTTATGATAAAGAGCGATTTTGTAAAATAAAATTCCTAAGTTGAATGATGTAAAACAATGTTCAATACTTTTTTCTATAAATTCTTATAGTTGTGATTTCGTCCCGCAACTAGAAGAAGATCGGTTGTCTAATGCCAAATTCGAATGGAGGTCTTAAATTTGAATATATATTTTTTATGAAGTTGATTATAATCAATAATATAATCTTTTTTAAGACTAGTATTCATAATTTGTCAAACTTCTATTACTTCTTTACTCTTTTACAAAAAAATTTATTTTCTATCAATAATAATCGATTTTTTTAAAAAAAAGAAAGACTTACAACCTATTAATTTTTTTTAAAAATGAGGACCCTCAAATTTTTGGGCCTAAAACGATTGTTCTTTCTTACACAGCTGTAGAGCCGCCCATGCACCTCATCATATAGAATATAATCTAACTGCACGTATTACTACAACAAATTTAATCGCCTATACCTCAAAATATATAGAAATACAGAGATAGAGTTGAAAATATAGCATTCAACCTAAAAACATGTATGGCTAAACAACTACAATCACTTGTATTTTTGAATATTCACAAATGAATATAAATGATATACAAGTAAATGGATATAAGAGCGAATAAATATAATATCCTATATATTGTGTTTTATTTTATATCATTGTATACACCCGAATTGTATTTATTGATACAACGCAAATGTGGGAACAAATACAAGTAAAATTAGAATAAATAAATACAAGAGCATGAATTCATAAGTGAAATTAGAGTGAATGAATACAATCTTTTGTATCTTTTATTGTTTGTATCTTTATATACATGTGGATTTTATTTGTCAATATAAAATGTTCTTATTGATACCACCAGTATTTGTCAATACAACTTAAATGCACCCAATATGAATATAACAAATATACCCCAACCTACCACCTCAAAAAACATAAAAACGTAGAGGTGGAAATATAGAATACGCACGGAGAGAGAATACAACCTACATGCATGCACACACAAATACAATTGCTTAACTCAAAAAAATACAGAAGTAAAGAGGAAGCAAGTGAAAGAGTGGAAATAAAGAAGAAAATGTAAATAAATGGATAAATACAACAAACAAAGTCGCATGACACGTAAAAAGTTTAAATATATATAGAAAGAAGTGGAAATGCAGAATAGAAAAGGAGGGAGGGAGGGAGAGAGAATACAACCTAATTACACAATTAAAACAACAATAAAATCGCTTTAGCACCCTAAATAACATAAAAAATACAGAAAAAGAGGTGAAAATACAGAATACAACCTAAATGCACATATGCATAACAAATACAATCGCTTGACACCTCAAGAAAATTATACTTTTATAGAGACGAAAATACAGAATACTACCTAAATGCACATATGCATAACAAATACAATTGCTTAACACCTCAAGAAAAATATACTTATATATAGGTGAAAATACATAATACAACCTAAATGAACATATGCATAACAAATACAATCGCTTGACACCTCAAGAAAAATATATTTATATAGAGGTGAAAATACAGAATACAACCTAAATATGTGTATGAATACAACAAACACAATCGCTTGACAACTTATAAAATATACAAATAAAAAAAGAGTCGGAGATACAAAATAAAGAGAGAGAAAGTGTGGGGCGGGGTGAGAATACAACCCAAAATTCACATGATATAAATACAACAAATACAATCGATTAATACCTCAAAAAATGTCGAAATACAAAGAAAGAAGGGTGAAATTTAATACAAAATACTCAGAGAGGTAAAGAAAGAGAGATATGAAGAGATGCGAGCAATATTGAAGAGAGACTAAAGAGGAAAGATTCATTTGTTTTTGCTTAGCATCTCACAGAGTGGTTATGAATTGTAAACACTCAAACTATAGCTATATATCTCTAATGACCAAATGATAATCGTTTTAAAAAAATTTCTCTATTTGATACTAGAGGTAGAAAGAGAAAAATATAAAATAAAACTCCCTTAATATTTTAAATTAAATAAGTAATATGAAATACCTATATTTTGTATAAGGACCAAATAATATGGAACACTTCATTACCATTAATAATCACCTTATCAAACGCCAAGCCATCTAATATAGAAGCTAGTAACTTTATTTGATCTGGATATATTTCCACATCAAGCATTTAAATGAAGAGAGGAAGAAAGCATCGGGTACAGTTTGAACAAGTTAATATGAAGAAAAGCATACCTTTCTCGGCCTTGGCTAAGACTAAGTGAAGTATCTGTTTTATCAATTTAAGATCTGATATTAACTTAATTTTTTGAAAGGGACTTAACTATAGTAGCTTGCTATTGAGACTCTCAAATGTTGCATTGGTCTTATACTTGGATCCTTGTAGAAATAGAAGTACAATCCACTATTGTTTTCGTAGCATACCGCTTTGCTTATATACCAAGTTGCCAGCATCCACAACTACTTCATTAGCTTCCCTTTCTTTCTACAATAATAATGGATGAGAATTTATCGGAAATGTTATCTTACATCTAAAATACGCGCAATTATTACAAAGGAGTAACTAGATAACATATGGATTATATTGCACTTACAGGTCCAAATAAATGGTTGAAGAATCAACATTGCAAATCAGCTCTATTGTAACTCTCAAGATTTAGTTCTTTCCCATCACCCACATCCAACTTTCAAAAAAGAAGCAGACCTATAATGTAAATTTAAACCAAAACTACTTGTGCTTCTGACCGGTGATCTTAACAATAGAAGAAAGGTTAGATATTTCTGCTGTTGAACCATACATCATAGTACAAGTGTAAGTTATGTCCATAACGATAATCAATCTGCAGTTACAAAAAGAGCAAATTAAGTTTTGTAATATATGTTTAAGACTTCATATTATAGATATACATGAAAGATCAAATAGCAACAAGGTCTTACTAATACAGTGTTACCAGCCTTTTCATCCTTCAAACCTTTGCCTGCCTTTATATCACAAACGTAATTTTGTTCGATTTTCAATAGCATTTGAGACAACATGGAGGTATAGTTGACTCTCATAACATATCTTAGTAACCCTTTTTCTTGCACGTGACCACCTTGATTCGCAGCTTCATGTTTATTGACATCAAAAAATGAAATAGAGCTCTGCTTTAAAGCTGCAGAATCCATGCATTCCTCCTAGAAGGAAAAAACTGTAAACCAAGAGTAGAAACTATAACTATTTTTACATAAGAGAAAGGCAGCAAACAAACTAATGTTATTCAACAAGTAGAGCACAATCTGCAAGGTTCCTTCTTGTCCTATAACTCTTGACATTGTCTGCATCTTAGTCGCAGCAGCGTCAAATTCAGTAATTGACATTCTTGGTACTTGATCCATTTTTTTCCTTGTCAATAACCAAACTAGTTGTCACTACTCATGTAGAGAGATTGCTATTGAAAACTCAAGTGCAACAAATCGGATATAAAAAAAAAGAGGACAATACAAAGAATCGAAACAAGAAACACTGAAAAAGTAGCCAAAATCGCATTAAAATCACGTGATAATTGAAATACCATAAACAACATACTAGGATAAGATACTAACAAATTATCATGCAAATTCTGAAAGAAGAAAAGGAGTAGTTTTAAAAAAATCATTTCTCCTCCAAAACAGAAAAGGGTAATTAATAGTATCATAATTCACAAAAGACTCAATGATAAAAGATTATGAATGAGTCAAAAGAGAGAGAGAGCAAATTTACACCTCTGATTTTCAACTACATGATATATGCAAGGTTGCAAAACATACAAAATAAATAGCTCAAGAAATCAACATACCAAGAACAATAAAGAAAAAGCTCTTCATATGGCAAGACACAAAAGTTTCGCAAACCCAAATGAAGAAAAGCCATTACAAATGATTGAAAGTCCATAATTTCTCACCGGAAAAATGCACAAGTATCCCCTAGACTATGATCAAAATTGAAGAGACACACCTTCACTAAACTAAGGTCCTATTACCCCTGTATTTATTTTTTTGAGTAATTTTATACACCTTTTGTCTTACGTGGCACACTCCGTGACTCCATGCAATTAAGGCGCTGGGAGATATTTGGATGTCAAGTAAGCCAAAAAGGTGCACAAAATTACAAAAAAATAAGTTAGGGGTAATTAAGATGTGTCTCTGCAATTTTGATCATAATCTAGGGGATACTTGTGTATTTTTCCTTTCTTGCCTCGAAAAGAAAAACTTGTATTTGATATCTAAGGACTTGTGTAGTAGAAAAAGTAGCTGGTCCTACTCTGCAGAAAAATATAAGGAGAATTGAGAAATGTGGATAGTTTATTTTTTAAAAATGCAAAAAGAATCATGTAAAAGTCTATAAACAATTTTTGTTTGAAAAATATTTTCCAATTTTTTCATATTTGGTTGATCTGCTTAACTATTTTGAAAAATGTTTTTAAAATAAATTGATTTTTCTTAAATTTAAGTAAAATGACTTATGCAAAAACATTTCTCAAAACTTTTTTTCAACCTCGCACCTCAATTTTCTACCCTAACTCAAGTCTCGGGTACAGACTCTTGATACTAATCAGGGACTCAATTTTTCATTCTAACTCAAATCTCGGGTATTGAAGCCTGATACTAATTAGGGATTCAATTCTTCATTCGGAACCCAACTCTCGAGTTTAATTTGAGAACCAACTCTCGGGTCTAGAGTCGGGATATGCAGTGAGATCTCATATTGGGTGTAGGTATAAAGTCCTAAGTGAGGTTCCAGGTTAGGATGTTGAGTCAGGTATCCGCATCAAGTTTTTGAGAGACAAGGTCGACACCTAAGTCAAGTATCAGGGTTGGGTCCCAATTCGGAAGTCAGGTCACGAATGAGGATCAATATTGAATCTCGATTTGAAAGTCGGGTATAGAGTCGAGAGTCAGGATCAATCGGGATGAGTGTCGAGGTCGGGTTCCAGTTCAAAACTTGGGTCTTGAGTCGGATGTCAGGGTCGAATCTTAGTTTTGATTCGGGCTTCGAGTCTCGGGTTAAATCTCGGGGTCCGATCTTGGATTGAAAGTTGGGTCTCGATCTAAGTATCATGTTTGAGTCTCAATTTTATTGTCGCTGCTTTGGGTGTTACGATTGGGCCCTAATTTGGAAGTTGAGTCCGGGTTCACGTGTTGGGTACTAGGTTGAGTGTCGAGATAGGGTTTAGGTCAGTCATTGGGGTTTGAAGGAATATTGATTGTATTGAAGTGTTAAGGGAATACATGGGAGATATATATAGGAGATATAGGAAGGAGTACTAATCCTAATAGGACTAGGATTAAGGAGTACTAATCTTAATAGGACTAGGATTAGTACACAGTAAATACTAATATTATTTTATACTATTTATTTAATACTATATGTTATTATCCCCCCTCAAGCTGAGCTGAGCGGAAGCAAACGGAAGCTTGGAACTGAGGTAATCGTGCTGTCGGCTCGGGAGAGGCTTGGTGAGAATATCAGCCGGTTGTTCTTCAGTGGGTACATACTCCACAGTCATGGTGCCGGTTTGAACTTCATCGCGAACAAAGAGACAATCGGTATTAACATGCTTCATTCTGGTGTGTAGGACGGAATTCTTGGCCACACAGATGGTTGATTTGTTGTCACAATAGAGAGCAGGAACAGTGTGAGTGGCGCGGAGTTCGCGAAGAATATATGTGACCCACATGGTCTCAGCAGCAAGAAGAGCAAGGGCGCGGTATTCAGCTTCAGTCGAGGACCGAGAGACCTTGGGTTGTTTTTTTGTACACCAGGAGATCAGGTTCGGCCTCAAAAAAACGAGAAACCCTGATGTAGATTTTCTGTCATTTTTATCATTCGCCCAATCTGAATCTAAGAAACCCCGAAGCTCCAAGTCCCCGGTTCGAATGAGTAAACCACGACCAAGAGTGCCAAAAATGTACCTGAGAATGCGTTTTAGACAATGGTAATCATGTTCACTTGGTTGATGTATGCGCTGAGCAACTCGGTTGACAGCAAACTGGATGTCAGGACGGGTAATGGCCAGATACTGTAGAGCCCCAATGAGGCTGCGGAAGTGGGTGATATCGGCAAAGGGGGTGTCGGCTCTATTCGTAGACGAAGAGACTGCCATCGGTGTTGGTTGACTGGTGCATTTTTCCAGTCCAGCTTTCTGCAACAGATCTCGAGCATATTTTAACTGATAAAGAAACAAGCCGCTGCCTGTCCGAGAAACCTCCATTCCCAGAAAATAATGTAACGGGCCAAGGTCCTTCATTTTGAAGGTAGTATGCATAGCTCGAGTGACATCCTGAATGAGAGCTGCAGTAGAGCCTGTAATAATGATATCATCTACATAGACAAGAAGAATGACTGTACCGTGTGCTGAATGTCGAGTAAATAGACTCGTGTCGTGTACGCAACACGTGAAGTCGAGTCCCTGGAGGAACGTTTTCAGACGTGTGTACCAAGCACGGGGGGCTTGCTTGAGCCCATACAGAGACTTCTGGAGTTTGCAAACATGTTGAGGGAAGCGGGGATCAACATAGCCCGGTGGTTGCGTCATGTAGATAGTTTCATCAAGCATGCCATGAAGAAAAGCATTGGAAACATCTAACTGATTGATGAGCCAATTGTTGCGCACGACGAGTGATAGTACCAGGCGAATGGTTTCCTGCCGAATAACAGGACTGAATGTCTCGGAGTAATCATGCCCATACTCCTGATTGTAGCCTTTAGCAACCAAACGAGCCTTGTACCTGGAAATACTGCCATCTGCATTGTGTTTAATTTTGTACACCCATTTTACAGCCCACTGGGTGCCGCCCATGGGGCTTAGGTACAAGAACCCAAGTTTTCTGATCAGTCAAAGCCTTAAAATCGTCATCCATAGCATGACGCCAATAAGCATTTTTTGAGGCAACAGATTAGGTTGTTGGTTCACTACCGGGAAGGGGTGTATTTGGTAGTATAGTAGCCTGAAAGGTTTTGGGTTTAAAGATACCGGCTTTGCCACGGGTTAACATGGGATGAGTATTGGGGGGTGGCACGGGCGGTGGTGATTCGGGGGTGGCCGGGAAGGACCCAAAATGGATCGGGCTGGAGATGTTGTGGGTATGGGGTGGTTCGGGTTGGTTGTGAGTGTGGGTGGTGGTTGCAGGTGTATTGTGGGTGACGGTCGAAGGGGTGATGAGGGGTGGTTGGGTAGTGGGTGGAGGTGTGGGGGAAGGTGGTGAGGGACCCTGTGAGGATGTTGGAAAAAGGGGAAGGACGCCAATGAATGATGTATTTGTGGAGGTGGAAATAGACTCGTAGGGAAACTCATTTTCGACAAATTTGACATGACGAGATATGTAGACTTTATGAGTTTGTGGGTCAAGACAGCGATAACCCTTGGAGGTAGGATGATAGCCAAAAAAAATACAAGGACGGGATCGGGGTTGTAATTTGTGAGTAATATGAGGGCATAGCCAAGGGTAGGCAAGACACCCAAAGACGCGGAGGTTGGTATAATTGGGAAGTTCTTGGTAAAGGAGTTGATAGGGTGATTTTTTGGAGAGGGTGTGACTGGGCATTCTGTTAATGAGGTAGTTTGCGGTGGCTTGAGCTTCTACCCAAAAGGAGACAGGGAGATGAGATTGATTTAGAAGAGTAACCACCGTTTCAATGAGATGGCGATGCTTACGCTCAGCCACCCCATTCTGTTCGGGAGTGTATGGACAGGAGGTTTGATGTATAATTCCCAGGGATTGCAGAAACTGGCCAAAGATGTTATTTACATATTTATTTCCATTGTTACTTTGAAAAAGTTTAACATGAGAATTGAATTGTGTTTTGACCATTTTTTCAAAAGTGACAAAGGTGGTGTATGCCTGTGATTTGTGTTTTAGTGGGTACAACTAAGTGTATTTTGTAAAATCATTCACAAAAAAAATATAATAGCGAAAACTAGCAAATGAAGGAACAGCAGTAGGACCCCATAGGTCGGAATGAATAAGTTGAAAAGGTGCAGTTGTATGCTTCTCAGATAAAGTAAAAGGTAATTTATGAGATTTAGCAATTGAACAGGAGTCACAATTGTTTACATGAATGGAAGAAAAACCTAATTGAGACATTAAAAATTTATTATTTGAGTAGACGGGTGACCCAGACGACTGTGCCACAACAGACTGTGGCCATCAACCGAAAGAGCCACCGGAGCCACAGGAACGCTTTCTGAAACTAGGTGGGCAGACGAACTTGTGCCAGGAAGAACGTACAGACCATGCTCACAGGGGCCCGGCCCTGAAAAATCACCCTCTTGGTAGTATTGTCTAGGATCTGAAAATCATTAGAGGTGAACAAGAGTGAGCAATTATTGTCTTTTGTGAATTGGTGAACTGAAAGGAGATTGGTTTTAATAGAAGGGACGTGGGTAAGGTTACCTAGGTGAAAGATAGCGGTGGGGGTTTTAATGGTACCCTTGCCAGTGTGAGAAATATTAAAGGACTCACCGTTGCCAATAGTAATACCATTGGAGCTATGATGTGGATTTGGAGCATTAAGCTTGGATAGATCAGAAGTAACGTGCATGTTGGCCCCAGTATCCAACAGCCATTCAGAGGAAGGGCCGGCTTGAGATGCATAATTGGCACGGTTATCACTATTTCGGCTCTTCTCATACCGAAACCAGCAACGAACAGCGGTGTGTCCTGTTTTCTGACAGATTTAACAAGTTGGACGATTCCGCTCGTAAGTGCCCTGCCCGCCGCTGGAAGATGACTGCCCGCCGCTGCCGAAGGAGTGCATGCTGTTGTTGCTGCCGTGCTGCTGACCGTCGTACGGCGGACGACTGCCCTGCCGACCGCCGCGCCCGCGGCCTTCGCTGTTTCTGCCGTAGCCGCCGCGACTCCCCTGCCGGCCGCCACCACGCCCCCGCGATAGTTCTGGCTTGCGGTGAAGGCGGTGGCCGGCTCCATAACAGCGGCTTCTCGGATAAGAAGTTTGCTCTCCAGATCCACGTTGATTTCTTCACTTTTTAGCCACGAGGACTGAGTAGCCAGGTCAACGGGCGTTGGACTGATGCAAACCGCCTGTTTAATGGAGGAGTAAGCTGATGGGAGCCCCCAAACGATGCACATGACGAGATCTTTTTCGGGAATGATTTCATTCACGGTGTCGAGGGCTGTGATGATGGTGGAGACCTCGTCTAAATACTCCGCCATAGTTTTCGTGCCTTTGGTAATTGTGTGGAGACGATCACGCAATTGAAAAATATGAGAGTGGGAAATTGATGCATAGTGTGTTGCGAGGGCCGTCCATAGGGCATAAGCAGTTGTGTAGGATCGGACGTGTTTCTGAACCGTGGGAGAGATCACCGCAATCAAACATGATCGGATCTGGCCATCCACGGCTTTCCAGGCGGCATGGGCCGGATTGGTTTTTTCTGATTTGTCCATGGTGGTGATGAATGCCGGCGGCGGTTCTGTGCTTCCATCGACGTATTTGAGAAGGTAATTGGCCTCAAGGGCTGTAAGAACGGTGATTTTCCATGTAGGGTAATTTATGTCTGATAATTTTTTAGGAATCAGGGCATGAAGATGCCTGAGAAGGAATTTAACGCCAGAAGGAAGTGAATCGAGAGGATCCACCTCGGTTGTCATGGCTGCCGCCACCCAAGAGAAGAGAAGGAACGATCGGTGCCCTAAAGAGAGAAAAAAACCTAGAGAAAAGAAGATCTATGTTTTCTAGCTCTTGATACCATGAAGGAATATTGATTGTATTGAAGTGTTAAGGGAATACATGGGAGATATATATAGGAGATATAGGAAGGATTACTAATCCTAATAGGACTAGGATTAAGGAGTACTAATCCTAATAGGACTAGGATTAGTACACAGTAAATACTAATATTATTTTATACTATTTATTTAATACTATCTGTTATTAGAGTTGGGGCCGATCCAGTAGGAATGTCACGTTCGGGTCAATTATCGGGGATCTGATTCAAGTCTGATATTGGAGTTGAATCTCAAATAGATGGTCGGAGTCATGTCTAGCCTTAGGTGTTAGGGTCAGGGTCGAGTCATAGGTTAGGAATCGGGATCTGGTCAAATTTTGGGGTTAGATCCTAGATTGGTCCTTAGTGCCGTGTCCCAGTTTAAGTATTGGGATAGGGGTTGAGGTCCAGTTTGAATGTTGGGTCCTGAGTCGAAACTCAGGGTCAAGTTCTGATTTACATATCTAGGTCGGATCTTGGATTAGTTATTGGGATTGGCTTTCGAGTCAGAATCTGTATAATTTCTACTTTCTAGTAAAAAATAAAAGATGTTTTGTGAAAAATATTTTTTATTCACCAACACTAAAAAGTATTTTTTTTAACCAAACATGAGATTTAAGATAGAAATCAAGTTGTTAATTTTTCTATTCTATCCATTTAATATTTGATAAGTAGAGTTTTCATCTACATCATTTTAACTCAATTTCTGAGGAGGGGTCCCTATGATAGTTTGCTATCAGGACTATTGAACGCTGCCTTGGTGTTACACTACAATCTTAACCTGGCGCAGAGCACCAATTTTGGTATGATTCTCGTAAAGAAATCTTATTCTGTGCATTGAAAAAGTGAAATGGGCAAAGTAGCCATCTTTTATATACCAAAGACTTCAGAGGGAGCATCTATTGGCCCATTATACTTGTTGGTGATTTTAAAAGGTATAATAGATAAACATGTCTTTTAACTTGATACTTTCAAACTTTGGATGTATTAGATATTTAAATTTGTATAAAATTGAACAAGTAAACATGTGTTATATGTGGTGTCCTATACATATTATGTCAAGTGTGTATTCTTGTTCAATTTTGTACAAATTCAAGTCTCTATCCAAGATGAAGGGCATAGACGTCAATTAAGGTCAATGTTTATGTATTATGTCATTTTAAAATAGGCGAAATGGTCTGGTGGACCATTATACTTGTGTCAGTTTGTATTATGAACCATTCTACTTACATTTTTGTCAACTGAATTCTTCTACTCAAATAAAACGAGACTTTTAAGCCCCTCCAACCATGTGTATAGCTCACTCTCCTTTACATAAATGACTTGTCATATCTACATCAGATATATTAATTACATGTCATAATTACTTCTGAAATTATTCATCAAAATTCTTTAATTAAAGGTTAATAAAATATTAATTTAATTTTTAAAAATAAAACTCCATATATTCTCTCCCACTCCCACTGCTTCACGCCAAAGCTAACACTGCCTTCGCCATTTTTACCGGCGAAACCACCCATATTCTCTCCCTCCTTGCCTTCATCTCTGTTGAAAATCATCAGCATTTTCTTTCCTCATTCAACCTCCCCAAAATAAAAAATATAAGCACCGCACTTCTAGATCTGGCCAAACACCATTACAATTTTTTAATTTATCTCTGTTGCACACCATCACCATTTTTGCCGCCATGATTAGATTCTTGCGCGCCCTCACCCACCTCGTTCTCTTCTCCGTTTTAACATGAACTTTGACATCAATCCTTGAACAAAATCAGGGACCAAAATCTTGATTTAAATTTGTTCACATATTATATTTTAGCCTAAGTATTTCCTCTCAAAACTATCAATACCTTCACCAAAAGTTAGAAGAGCTGGTACTGCTTGTGGTTGTGCAGCCGCACCTCTTTCTTGTTCCATTGCGTATCAGTGGTTTCCGGCAAGCATCACCAGCGCCACTCTCTACCTTCGTTGGTAAATTAGTGAACTAAAGAAGTACCAAAATATGCTAAATAGAAGACAATAGATTATGGAAAATAAAGAAAAACGGGATGGACATGACTGAAAAATAGGTTTAATGGGTGAAGAAGAAGGGATTTTTTTAATTGATTATTTTTACAAAAATTATTTCTTTTATAAATTTTAATATTTTTTTAGTAAAAATGTTGCTCACTCGCATCAAGAAGCGTGTGACTACACACTTTTGCCAACTCACACATTCTAATGCCACCTAAGTTTGGTAAATGGTCAGAGAGGTTTGTTAAATTGTGTTTTATTGAGTGTAATGGTTCAGTTGACAAAAATGTAAGTAGAATGGTCTAGAATACAAACTGACACAAGTATAAGGGTCCACCATACCATTTTGCCTTTAAAATAAGATATCTATAAAAATCTTAAATTATACAATTCTTAGGTAGAAAATGGAGATAAGTTTTATTCCAGCCAGTTGTTTTATGATAGCTCACAGTTTAAATACGTGTAGATGTGGACTCAAGCAAATGAACTTTTATAATTATCTTAGTTTGACTAATTAAAGATTAAACTCAATACTTGTGTTTCACTGTAAAAATTTGAAACTCCACCATATGATATTGGAAGTTTCACATGTGATATTTGAATCTCATGACATAAAGGGAGTCTTTGAACTCCAACATACATAGGGCCCGTTTGGCCATGCGATATGATATCATGATATAGAATCATGAGATGAAATTAAAGTTTTGTTTGAACATGCGATATGAAATTTTGGTGTTAGTATATTTTCTCATAAACATAAAATTGCATAAGTTATAAAACTATTAAAATAGCCCCAATTGTTTATTCAATATTATCAAATAAATGAAAAATCATAAAATTGTATAATAAGTTATTATAAAATTATTTGTTCTCCACTTAAGTAATTGTTTCATCAATATATTTGAGTAAAAATGAAAGCTTTCACCGACTCTTCAAGATTTTATTACTTAATATCGTGAAGTGTGAGTTAAAGTGACTATATGTCGGTGAGAATAATAAATTTTTTGTCGGTGAGAATAATAAATTTTAAAAAGTAATGATGTGATTATAAATTTTATTTACATGTGAAATAAATGGTTAGTAGATATAAATGTGGAGTTGTTTTAACAAAATATAAACTCATGAATCAATTTTTGTATTAAAATAACTCAAATAATGATATGATATTCTCATTTGATTCCATATTACGGTTATTTTGAATCATGAGATGCAATCAGCGTAAGATCGCATGTCCAAACGCTGATTCCATCTTACGATATCATATCATGATATGGTATCACATGGCCAAACGCCTACTTAGCTGAGGTACTTTATTCCAGGTTTTATTTTCATAAAAATTGGTTATTTCTCAATTACATTTCGCAAGGTGACTAAACATTGAAGAATGCCTATCACTACCCTAGCTGAAGAACTAATTGACATGGTCAACAAATTAGTGAATAAATCATTCACCTTTTTCCTGTGAATTCACGAGGTAGTAACAGAAACTCTTGGGCTTGGAAGTCCCATGTATGCAAGCCTAGGCGATACAAGGATTTTTGGGCTCGGACGTTGTGAAGGTATTTGATAATAGTTCTTTGGCTGAGACAAGTGAACTCTTGGAGATAGATTGACTGTTTCAAGGGCCTGAGATTGAAGATCAATTGAATAGTCTCTAACACAACCAATACAGGAAGCAACACCACTTATCCACTTGTAAGACAAACGTTTGGTCAAGTCAAAAACTGGTTCTTCTGTCTTGTTTTTGCTGGTATGTGTAAATTTTTCTTCATGAGCAGTTATTGTCAACACATCACTGACCATACCATCGTCCTTAGCTTTATCTGTATCACAATTTTGTGATAAGGTTTTCTCCATGTCTTTGTTAGACTCCAATAAAAGTCTATCATTGTCTATTGCACAATTTTGTAGGTAAAAAGTTAATGATTTGCCTATTAGCATCAGTAGTACTGGTGCAAAATTTGCACTACATTGGAACGTTAATATTTGCATTGCTAGTATCATTACCTTAACGTTAGCCAAATCTACATGGTGTTCCTCAAGGAAATTGATGAATTTCTTGAAATTATCTTCTGTTGGAAGATAGTGACTGATGTATGGACAAATTGCATGCAGTGCAAAATGAGACTGAAGTTAATGAAATAAACAAAAGAAAATGACATATGTACTTATTTGCGTAATTTATGAAGTATACCTCAAGAATTTCATCATAAACAATCAATCTACCAGCTGCTGTAGTAGCACCACCAGATAGGAAATTAGAGTGTTGGAAAACACCCTTCTTTTTCTTTCCAACATAAAGAACTCTTGAAGTACTAAGAACGAAAATCCACTTCGATCGTTCTGTTGTATTCAGGGGCATCCCGCTTTGCTTATGCACCAATTTGCCATCCTCCACAACTATTTCGTAGGCTTCCCTTTCGTTCTGTGATAATAATGCACGAAACATATTGAAAATATTATTTTCCATCTAACATATATTACGCGCAATAATTACAAATGAGGAAGTAGATAACATATGGATTACATATTTGGACTTATAGGTCCTAAATACTTGATGCATTGACGTTGCAAATCAATTCTCTTGAACTCTCAAGATTTAATTCTTTCTCATCACTCACATCCAACCTTCAATAAAGAAACAAACTTATCATGAAAGTTTGAATTTGACACATGAATGAAACCTAAACTACTTGTGTTTCTGACTGATGATCTTACCAATAGAAGAATGGTTGGGTACTTTTGTTGTTGGACCATACATCATAGCAGAACTATAAGTTATGTCCATAACGATGACGTGGGTCAATCTCCAGTGAAGAAAAGAGCGAAGTAAGTGCCCTAGTATATGTTTAAGACTTCATATACATGAAAGATCACATAGCAACGAGGTCTTACCGCTTCCAGCCAATGTTGCAGAGCTAGTTTTTGAGCCTTCTCGTCCTTCAATAAACCTTTGCCCACCTGTAGACCACAAACATCATTTTTCTCAATTCTTGAGTAAATAACTATATTCAGACAACATGGACGTATAGTTGACTCTCGTTAACATACCTTAGCAACCCTTTTTCTTGCACGTGACCACCTCGACACGACAGCTTCATGTTTATTGACATAAAAAATGATATAAAGCTCTGCTTTAAAGTTACGGAATCCAAGGCTTTCCACCTATAACCATAAGAAGTACAGTAATACAAAAATTAGAAACCAAGACATAATTGAATTTACATAAGAGAACAGTGGCAAAAGAAACAAACGAACCAAAGTTTTTCCACGACTACAACACAATTTGCAAGGTTCCTCCTTGTCTGATAACTTTTGTACACCGTCTAGAGCTTAGTCGCAGCAGTATCAAGTTCAATAACAGGTCTTGGAGAAAAGAACACTAAAGGCTCTGGAATCGAGATTCTTGGTGGTTGATCAACAACCAAACTAGTTATCGAAACAAAAGTTTTAAGCTTTTATTTCTCATGTTTTAGACTTTCTTTTGAACAATCAGACTTGCTAACATTCTTATCTTCTTTTTCTCTGAAAATAAGTGTCATCGAAGACAATTCTCTATTTTTCCTTTCAATGCTAACCGATCTCACAATAGCTCTTCTCATGGTGTCAGCAAAAATAAGATAACTATGTCTTAGAATCTCATTCCATGCTGACAACAATATAGAAAGAGAAAGCCCCATTCAATGGACAATTAGAGCTCAGATGCCTGCAAATAGAAACCATTGGTTTTGTTACAAACTAGGATATTCCAATTCATTCAAAGTCACTTAGAAACACCAAAGGTGACTGAAATACAACCCCATCATTTTCCCCAAAACCCACAAAGTAAAGAGGAAAACTTTAATAACTTTTTCCAGCAATTACATTAAAAGCAAAAAAAAAAATATGAACATACAACCAAAAAAATAATAATCAATGAAATCCCACAAAGTGAGGTATGGAGAGGATAAAATGTATGCAAGCCTTATCACTACCTCTCCGAAACGGAAAGGTCCAAAAGACCCACAAGCAAATCAAAACAGTAATTAAAATGAAAAACATAACTCCGAATAGCAAAGCAGTGCAGAAGATATATGCAAGGACCATAATAACAACAAAACAAGGTGTGATCACCTGAACATAGTAAACCACATATGAAAAAAAGAAAAATATGAACATAATTAATCTAATTCAAGAAAATTTGTAACTAGAGAAGGGACAGTGGGAAAATTAACTGGTCTTGCTCACCCCATCCCCTAACCCCCTGAAGGGAAAACAAAAATAGATTTTGAGCATAAAGAAATCAACACTACCAAGAACAGTAAAGAAACAATGCTAACATATATTTTGCTTAGGCACATATGTCAAGAAACAAAAGTTTCGCAAACCCCAAATGAAAGATAAGCTTCAATTTTTTTTATCAATTTCTCACCTTGAAATGAAAAAGAATTATTTCTCTATGAATTTGGTTGAAGGGATAATAATGTTGCACGGGTCTTGAGTTGTTAGAAATCACATATTTATAGTAGAAAAGGTAGTTTGAATAATCAAAGTTGTGCAGTAGAAAAAAGTAGGTGGTCCTACTATGCAGAAAAATATGTGTCTGAATAGACTTTCATTGAAGGTAAGGGGAAAAAATTGAGACTGGTTGACTAATAATTTTTTTATTTTCACTTGGTCTTGAAATCTAGAAATATGTGTATAAGCAAACAACATTTTTATGTTAAGAAAAAAGCTAATAATTTTAGGTGTGGGGCTTTGCCTTATGCCATCATGCATTATTGAGCTAACACATCACAAACATTTATTGAATAAAATGTGTAACTTTAGTCTTTATATCTAACTTTGATGTTAACATCGCTAACTTTTGTCTCTTCTTTTCAATTATTCTTAAAAGTCCAACTCTAAAAATTGTTGCAATTCTTTAATTTTTTAAATCTTTTAAGTGAAAACTTTAAAAATAATTTATCACAATTTTTCAATAAACTTGTAAAAGTTTGGAAATAAGAACGAATGGAAAAATTGTGATTCAGTTATTTTAATATATATATATATATATATATATATATATATATATATCCATGGCCTCGGAATAGCAAAACAGTGTTGTCCTTGCATTGGTTGCCATTGACATCATATATAATATTGATATTCATCAAAGTAGATTATGGTACAATGATATGACTTTTCTACCCTTAATCATGGGCCTTTGTATTTAATTATGGGTATGGAGAAAAATCTTATTGGAAGCACAACCCTCTAAAAGTGTTCTGAATGGGGAACTCAAATTTAGGTAGAGCTTCAATACAAGCATCAAACACCGGATGAAAAAAAATAAAAAAGTAAATACTAAATTTGTTGATCGTAGATGTTTTGTGAATCTTATATCTTTTTCTTCCGCGCATCTACTAATACTTTGAGTGTTTGACTTCAAATTAATTGTAGATTAAAAGAAAAGACATGAAAGAAATATGATGACATTATTGCTTAAATTTTTTATTAGAGATAAATGTCAAAAAACACTCTTAAATTATATCATTTTTTAAGTTTCACATCTAAATTATTGAGAGTGTGAGTTTCATACCTAAACTATCAATTTTTAACACTTTGTTTATAAGTATGGAAGAATTAGAATGATCTAAATGTTTACATTATCAACAAATATTCGGAAAAGGGCCTAAAGTACATTCGAAGTATTGGAAATGATACAAAATTACCCTTCATCCACCTATCGGCTCCAAAATACCCTTCCCACCCCCTATTGACTCCAAATTACCCTTGTCATCCACCTTTGGGTTCAAAATTGACCACTTATTTAACGGTTTTAAATTTAAACTATTTATATATTTATTTTAAATACGTGACGCTCAACTATTTGTTATAATTTAACTAATTAGTATAATTTAGAAATCAATCCACTACCACTTATTACTAATTAAACCCTACAAAATCAATAAACTTGTCACATTACTAATGCAACAACAACAAAGCTACTGCCGATGAGTGTTTTTAAAAAATTGAGGTGAAAATATCTATAGAAGTAAATTATCATATATTTAAGTGTCTAAATAAAAATTACCGATAAACTTAAAAGTCTGACTATGTTCATCTTAATTATTCTTTCATATCAATTATGTGATGTTACTTCATAGATAACTTTTTAGAAATAATATATTAACTGTTTTAAAATAAATCATAAATATTTATAAAATTATATTTTAAAAAAGTGAATGAATTAATTCGGGATGTACTACTTCTTTACCTTTAATCATAAATTTTGAATTCAAACTTGAAAGAGAATCTTATTGAAAGTGTCTCCTAAATAAGCGGATCAACTTAAATTTAATTGGGGCTTCGATTCGGACTCGAATAATTTTGGATGTCATTTTTCGGGAATGTATCATTTCGTCGTGTTTTAGTAGTGTTTATGGCGATTTTGATATTATAATTGGTTTATTAATTGGATGGACTTTAGTTAGTAATGAGTGGGTAGTGGGTTGGTTTAAAATTATATTAATAAATTAAATTATAACTAATAGTGAGCGCCAAGTATTTTAAAAAATATTTAAATAATTTATTTTTAAATATGTTAAATAAGTGGTCAATTTTGAACCCGAAGGTGGATGACAATGGTATTTTGGAGCCAATATGTGAATGAAAAGGACATTTTGAAACCAATAAATGAATGGAGGGTAATTTTGGTCACAGTGTTAAAAGTTGATGTTATATCTTCTCTATAAGATTTGCATGTCTTCACTTTTAAAATTTAAAATTAATTTATTTCTCATATATTAACGTGGCCAAAAAGTCCAAAATATTCCAATTTTAATCTTAAAAAACTTTATTTTGGTTATAAAGATAAAAAAGGGTCATATATTGTCAATTAATTAAAGGGAAAATTACGTGGTGAAATAAACTTATACTATTTAATTATTCATAGTTATAGTTTGCTATAATTACCACTCACGACTAAACATTATGTATTAATTATGTGAACTTCGATTTGTATAAATAGTCACGTTTGTATATGTATAATTCGCCAGAATATACAAATACATATGTATAAGATACAATTATTTAGCCTATATATATATAAAATTCACCTCTCTCCCACTCTTTGCCCTCTTTCGCTCGCTCTCTCCTCACTGTCCCAATCTTTCGCTCGCTCTCTCCTACTCTCTGCCCCTCTCTTGCTCACCTCTCTCCTCCCTCTCCCGATCTCCCTTGCCTCTCTCCTCACTCTCCTAATCTCGCTCGCTTCTCTCCCCTCTCTCCCAATCTCGCTTGCCATATATACAAATGCATATGTATAATACACAATAATTTATATATACAATTCACCTCTCTCCCACTCTGTGCCCCTCTATCGCTCACCTCTCTCTC